AAAAAAAAAAAAATAGAGCTAGGTATATGTTAATCAAAGGCTATTCTGAATGCTTTTTTATCATTTTTTTCTTGTCCTATCACACTGGCTAGACTAATTTTTAGTACTATGTAGAATAGAAGCAACTATAGCCCTCACCCTTGTCTAGTTCCTAACTTTAGTGGGTTGTTTCCAATATTTTACCATTGAATTAGATGCCTTAGGTTAGTTATGTGTAGCTAGCTTTTATCAAAGTAATAACCTCATTGCATTTCCCTTCAGTCTTGGAGGGGAGTCCGGGTATTGGCCATGACATTTGCCAGCTCGATGGAGTTCTCTCTCTCAACCGGTGTAAGGTCCGCATGCCCTGCAGCCGCACAACTGCACTTCAGCTGCTACACAAGTTCGACTCCTTGAGTAGCCCTTGAATCTGGCTCTTCTCTGGCCTCTCTGAAGTTTCTGAGTATAATGGCCTCAGTGTAAGTTTGGGTTTTGCCAGAAGAAAATGGGCCTGTGCTGAAAAGGATATAAAGTCAAGGAACAGGATTTGGTACATCTCAACTAACTTGGTCCTAACTCTGACATTCATTTGCTGTATGACATTGGATGAATAATTTAGCCTCTTTAAGCCTTAGTTTCACCCACTATGAAATGGAAAAAAATAATACCTATTTAATATCCATTTCATAGAGTTGTTTTAGGGTCATATAGCTTACGTAAAACACCAAATGCTTTTCTAGGCATACAATAGGCACTCACTCTCATATCATTATGAGGCTTATGCTGCCTGGGAGATACTGATGACAGCTTTCTTCTGTCCAGGCAGGGCCAGCTTCATGGTAGCATGACCAGTGTAGTCCCACAGGGCCCCATGCTTAGAAGGGCCCCCCACTTAGTTTAATGCTCTGCTGTTGCCATCTTGAAATTCTTAATTTTTGAACAAGGGTTATCCTGCATTTTGCACTGTGCCCTGCAAACCACGTAGCCAGTCCTTTCTCCAGGAATGGGTTGAGCTCCAATACTGGTCCTTCTCTTTGGGAAACATCCTACTACTGATTTCTTATGGAGTAACTCCCTTGGAGAGAAACTTTCCATAGAAAAATTAGGGTTATCAAGGCCGGGCGCGGTGGCTCACGCTTGTAATCCTAGCTACTCTGGGAGGCCGAGGCGGGCGGATTGTTTGAGCTCAGGAGTTCGAAACCAGCCTGAGCAAGAGCGAGACCCCGTCTCTACTAAAAAATAGAAAGAAATTAATCGGACAACTAAAAATATATAGAAAAAAATTAGCCGAGCATGGTGGCACATGCCTGTAGTCCCAGCTACTCGGGAGGCTGAGGCAGAAGGATTGCTTGAGCCCAGGAATTTGAGGTTGCTGTGAGCTAGGCTGATGCCACGGCACTCACTCTAGCCCGGGCAAAAAGAGTGAGACTCTGTCTCAAAACGAAAAAAAAAAAGAAAAATTAGGGTTATCATCCTATATATGTTTATCTCTAATTTTCTATTCTAGGTAACCAATGTAGACTCTCTCAGAAAGCAACACTTTATATTTTACAGAATTTATCAGGTCTAGAGAAGCTAGGTGGGGCTGGTAAAGTGAAATGATGATTTGGGACTTTGGAATCAGGAAAAGATCTAGGTTCAAAACCCTGCTGGACCCTTTCTGAGTTACTAGGACAAGGTAAATGTCTCTGTCCTACTGGTAAAAGCTGTGTTGTAGGGGAATTACATTTTCCTTATTGGTAAAATATATGTCTCAGGGGAATTAAACAGATAATTTATGTAAAGTGCCTTTCACAGAGTCTGGCACATAGTAGGTGCTCAATCACCATTCATTCTTCCAGCTTTTGCTAGAAGTAACAAAAATCAGGGCACTAGGACTTACAAGCCATGCTTGCTGCTACTAATAAAAGAAATAATATGATTTATTTTTTCACTACTGTTTGGGGAAAGGCATGTGCTTCATAAATATGTATTGGAAAGTACTTAGCAAATGAGTAGAAATAATAAAAATATGTCAAAATAAACAGCTCCCATAAATATGTCACTTGGTAGACAAATTAGTGTTTTATTACTAGTAAATACTATTGCTTGCTGAAAAGGATTTCAGATTACTTGCACAATGGGTACATTATTGAGTGCCTCTGCAGAAGGGCATGATAAAGATGAAAAATAGTGACGGTGATAATGCCTAAGGTGGAGAAAGGAGGAGTGTGGGTAAATGCAGCTCTGAGGCCTCCTTGCTTCAGTGATATGCACATTATTTAGCAGCATTCCAATGATTTAGCTGTAATATGGACCAGAGAGCCCAGAAAAAATGATTTCCATGGGATGTTGTGAATCCAGACTCCAATTTTCGGATCCAATCAGTGGATTAAGTGCACTTCCTTTCAGAACTGAGCACTCAGCTTGTAAATTAAGTTTACAAAAAGACATCTCTGGGTCTCACCCCACCTTTGTTCTGGACTTATTAACTTTCTGTGGCTAAAATTGTTACTGAGAGGAGAGATGTGGTGGACGATGCTGTGTCTTAATCACAGCTTATGAATCTATTTCAGAATTGAAAGGAAGGACAAGGTCCTGGTATATCAAGAGAAGAGGACTCAGAGGGGAAAGAGGAGACAATAAAATGCTCTTGGGGGGTGGTGGGGGACAGGTGGAAATAAAGCTCCAGAGAGAAGCAGACTAGGCAGAGAATTGCATCAAGCGAAGTTACAGAAATAACCAGGTAGAAGAAAGGTGGGTACATTTAATTCAGGTGTGGGAGGTCTCTAGAAGGCCAGGCTTTTCATGCATTCTAGGTGGTAGAATTGGTTTCGAATTCCAGCCTCCACTTTTTTGGTGTGGCTTAATATGTAGATCCTCATTGATGACACAGGCATAATAGTACTCAATTTGCTAGGCTCTTGTGAGGATTGGAAATAATAGTTGTAAAGTGATAGAGTCTGATACATATGTATGATATTATTTTTACTTCACTTTTCCTTATGATATTCCTTATTTTAAAATAGATTGCTCAGAAAAACTCTGCGAGGTTTCGATAGGAACCTAAAGCATAAGAAAATTAAATGTCCTTAGACACCAGTTAAAGAAGGATTAGAATTTATATTATTTTCGTGACGAGGCATCTTCTTAGCCCACGCTGGCTAATGATCCCTATGCTACCCTGCTGCTTTAGAGTTGACCGAGCACGTCTACATGCATTAGCGCGTTTAATCCCCATACCAACCTGCATTTCTGGGATGAGGAAGCTGGAGTTCAGAGGTTAAGGGCCTTGCTGAAAGGTACACAGTCGATGAGAGGCAAGGTGGGCTCCTTGGCAGAGCCATTTTCATTCTACCTCAGTCTTCCTCAGTTTCCTCGCTTTCCTGAGTGAAAGTAGCTAATCCCAGTGGTTTAGACTGGGAAATGCTAGAGGAGGGAGGAGCCATAGAGTGATGGGACAAGCCTGGGTTCCGATGTCCCCACAGACCCGGTTTCTAATGCCTCCCAGCTGTGGGACTTGGAATAAGCTGGCGATCCTTGATGGGCCTGTGTTTCTCCAGTTGTGAATTCGGGAACCATCGCCTGAGATATGAAAGTGAGGCAACTTTCAAGCTTTTATTATGAACCGAGTTCAGAGATGTTAAGGGACTCGCTCAAGGTCACCAAGCCGGGTCTTGGTCCAGCTGAGACTGGGACCTGGACCCTTTGGGCCCTTCTGCTCCTCTCGCAGAGTTCTGCGACCAAGGGAACCTGGAGCGCCAGACGCCTCCACTGTCAGGCCCGGCCCGGCTCCCCCTCCGGGAGCCTCGGCTCCACCAGGGGGCGCGCGCGGAGGCCTCGCTCTAGCTCGCCGCACGCGTCGCTCCTCTCTATGGTGGCTCGGGCGCGGCGGGAGCGGGAGGCGCGCTCCCGAGGGGGCGGGGCCGAGCCGGGGCGGGGCCGTGCGAGGGGCGGGAGCGGTCGGGCCGGGCAGGGCGGCTGGGGATGGGTGGGGGGGCCGACTTCCTGGGGCCGTCCGTGAGGATGTCGCGACCGCCCCCGGGGGCGCCTCAGCCCCGGAGACGCCGCCACGACGGAGTCCGCAGCCTCCCTGCCTGAGGCGTCCGCGGCCCGGATCCGGCCCCTCCCCTCCCCTTCCAGGTGCGGGCCGGGCAGGCGGCCGCGGCAGGTGAGGAGGCGGCGGCGGCTGCGCTGGGGTCCGCAGGGCGCCTGGGGTGGGGTCCCTGGGAGAACAAGGGGGCGCTTCTTGGCTTCCGGCACTTCCAGACAGTAGCCTGGGGGCTCCTCCTCTGTGTGGGGCGCGGCCTGGGACTCTCTCCCTTACAGGAGATTGGGGAAGCCCCTTCCTTGCTGGAACTCTTCAAATTCAGGGCAGCCCACACCTGTCCTATAAAAAGTCCCCTTAAAGCATTTCATCCTTAGGGGCGGTAACAGGAGACATGTGTCCCCAACTATCCCCAAGCGCCTTGCAGACCGGCAGGTCCAGTTGGCTTGTGGGGGAAAGATGCTTCTTTGTACCGCAGAGGAAACTGAGGCAGGTCCGCGGCGGCCTGCTTGCCCCTTTAAAGGAACTAGCCTGTCCCTCAGTGGAGGAGCCCCGCGGGCTCCTTGGAAGACGGAGGCAGCCGGAGGAAGGAGGTTTGGAGTTTGGAGGTTTCATGGAGAAGTTTGGAAATGTGGTTCTCCCCCTAGGGTCTGCTATTTCGTCTCTTGGGAGTTGTCCTCTGTTCACGGTGTGTGTGAGGTCGCCACTGTGCGGGAGTGGTCAAGACTGAGAGGAGAGTGGAGCCCCTCTTCGGGGGCTGCCCAGGAGACACTTGAGCAGGCATGGGGCAGTCTGGCCGGACTAGGGGAGCCGAGAGCCTCCGCTGGGCATCTGTCCGTCTGCTCAGAGGTTGATTTCAGGCTGGCAGAAGAGACAACAGCATGTTTTCTCCTTTTTGTTGGTCCGACATTTGTTGTAAAGGAAAAAAACCTGCTTGGGTAATCAAGAGTGTATCACGCACCTCCCAGCGTACCACAGGGAAGGATTATTGTTAGCTTGGAAATAGGGCTTTACCCACAGCTGTCACTTTGCACTCTGGTTAAAGGCCAGAGTGATGTGATGAACAAACACCCCGGGGTGCATGTGGCCGTCTGAGAAAGCAGTAAGTTCCTTATGTATGCCTTTGGTGGTTTGGAGGACAGAGAGACTTCCTGTTACCACTGTTGCTGCAACTGTTTGGGGAGCCTTGTGGTTCTCCCGCTGAGTTCAGTTTACTGAATGTGGACAAGGCTGCCCATTTGTTTTATCATTCTTCTAGGAAAAGTAGGCAAGGGGACATGGTGCTGGGCTGAGTTTGCATGGAGTTCTAGTCTGGAAGCTGGCTGTGATATTTCCTTTCTGTTCAGGGGATTTCAGGTTTGACAACTTTATCCTTTGCCCTCATTGCATTCTCTTTCACATTCAAGGAAATAGATGCCAAGCGTTTCTGAAACTTTATATTTCCTAATTCTGGATTTCAGAATACAATTCCTAAGTTACAGTTTATTTGGCGGTGTTATTTTCTTAAATTTGAAAATGTTTGGGTATTGTGCATAACAATTGCTATTAATGTGGCAGGGCTAACTAATAACTTGATTGTGTTTGAAGAAAATGCCTATGTAATCTAGGATATGCAGACACATTTTAATGTCTATCTCATTAAAAGACCAGCCCACTAAAAACTTTAGTAATGATCAGGTAGACAGCTGTTATTCTGACCGTTTCCATTGGGAACACGGGCTGTAAATACTCTAAATCAACCAATTTAACCAACTTCTAAAATAATATGCACAATAAGAGAAAGCTGTTCTCAGGTTAAAAATTAATTTGTTTCAAACTTTCTCACAGCCAAGCCAATTGACATAACTCTGCTTAATACCATCTAATAGGAACACCTTTTTAAGGGCTCTTAAAATAGCAGTGGAAAAATATTTTCAGTGACCAGCATTTAAGAAGATAAAATAGGAACAATAACAAAAGAGGGCAGTTTTTTTTCTAATTACATGTGCATTGTGATGTTACATACAGCCACACCCATCTGTATGAGTGTCATGCCTAAGACTTTGTGAAAACACCTATATAAACCTAAGGAGTTCTTAGGGGGATTAATTCGACCTTGATTTTTATTCTTGTAATAAAACCTTTAATACTGTTATTGTTTTAATGATAGAGACTTTTGTACCAAACTCGTATTGGCCACAGTGTTTATGTTTTGGGAGAAAGATTTGACCTCTACACCTTGGAATCTCATAACCCCTGCAATACAGAGTTAAGAGATAATTTAGAGTTTAATGAGCATTCATAGTTTAAATTGCTATTGGAGAAGTCTCAAGGGAGGAGCTGCTTCATCATTATTGTTTGGTAATCGTTACTGGTTTAGTAATGATTACTGGTTATTTTTGTTAGGCTACTGGTTATTGGTAATGGTTACTTGGTGTTTACGTAAGAAAGATTTTGGCAATTGTACGGACAATCCTTTGATGTACAAACACAGACTCCCATTTCTTTAATAGGGCAATATCTGAACATTTTCTTGTTTTGTGACTTTATATCAGTTATGGAGTTTTAAAATCCTAAAACCAGTTAGGCTCTTAGTAGGATATCCTGTTATATCTCACATAAAAGCCATCTCGGATAGGTAGAAATTGGCCTCATATGTTTAAAGACCTCTGCTCTCCCTGTTTCCAGGATTTAACTGTTGCCATGGTCAGGACAGCGGTCATTCCTAATCCTGTTATGCCAGACTTAGGTTAAACCCATTATCCTTTCTCTTCATTAAGACTGTCATGAAGTTCCTTATTTGCTTGTCTTACTCAGGTCGAATATTACACATTTTTGGTGTATCTGGGGTTGTTAACATTTCAAAAGTGGAGCTAAGCACTTGGTTAGGAGCCCTGCATGTTTTTAAACATTTTCCCTTTTCAAAAGCAAGCATAAAATCTGCATTTCCTCTGGGGGAAAACCAGCTTTTTGAATCTGATAATAAGATAAAAGCTGGTTTTTCTAGCTTTCTACTACCAGGAAATCGTTGTTAACCTTTCCTTACTTTCTAGTTTTGCCAGTACAGACTAGTGACTGGTAATGAATGACGACCTAGTGGCAGTGGGAGATCTGAAGTCTCCTGAATCATCAAAGAAAGGTCATATGGTATCCAGTGCAGCTTTAGCCTTTTAAACATGTTTTATTGTAAGGAGTTCCCAAAAGCCAGCCGCTCCTAGAAAGATTAGGTACTTGGCTGTTTGCTTCTGAGTCACCTTGGTATTCTTTAAAAATGCAGATTTCTCAGCCCCACCTCCTGGCGATTTTGATTGAGTGGGTAATTGATGACTGGGAGGCTACATTTTAAAAACCTCCCTTGCATCTAGTATTTCCAGAAAGCTCCCCAAGTGCTTCTGAAAGCTAAGTTTGGGAACCACTGTTTTATTGTCTTCATACTTTTTTATTATCTCCTGTACCTCAAGGCCTATGGAACTTTGCAAATTGGGGTTCACTTCTCTTCCCTTTTTCTTATTTTAATGTTTAAATTGAAATTGTAGGCACTGAAATTCTGTATAAATCAGTAGTCCCTCCAGTAGCGTCATTATGCTATCCAGGATGTTTGATTTGCTGGAATAGCCCATTTCCTAGTCATGACAGATCACAAAGGGCTTTTATAACTTTTATGTAAATTGCTTTACAGCTAGGCCCCTTCTGCTGTATTATCTATCAGGAGTCATGAGGGAGGTTTTTGGTGAAAGTAGCTTCCTTTATCTACTGAATGGACAATTGAATGATAATGTGGAAACAACTGGAGATCTGAATAGGTAATGGAATCTAGTTATGTTCAGTGTTGGATGGGAGAGATGCCTGGGAATTCTCTGTGTGTAGGATTTTAAAATAAAGTCAACGTGCCAGTTTTATTTCCACACAGAGCTGAAGCCCTTATTGAAAATAATAGGTGCTTAAGAAAGTCATTAAAATTTATTTATTTATTTTAATTCTCTTCTAGTCATGGAGATAGAAAAGTCAATGAAATTTAATCACAGGTCCTTTGCTGAGTTCATGGAAGGAAGAAGAATTGCTGAAATACAGAGCTGTCTGAGTTAAAATGGAATCAGGCACTAGATATGTTAGGCCAGAATTAAAGTTGGGAAAAGCCTAACAATTTAGGAAATATACAAACCTGAATCCTGGCTCCTCCACTTCCTGGCTGTGCTACCTTAAGCAAGTTATTTATTCTCGTGAGTTTCATTTTCCTCGTCTGCAAGATGAAAATAATACCTGGTAGAATTGTTATGTGGATTAAAAGAGGGAAAATGTGCGTGTGAGGAATAAAAGAAAATATATTCTTTGTATGTTGTAGGCAACTCAGTAAATGTCCCTTCTCCCACTTTCTCATACGATTTTTTATTCCGTAGGCTTAAGATGTCTTTCTAAATCCAGCCTTCTCTATCTCTTTCCAGGAATATCTACTCAGCTCTTTTAGAAAATGTATGAAAGAGTGAGGACTAAAGTTAAGAACCAGAGAATATGGGTAAGAAGAATGAGTCACAGGACAATTAACAACACTTTAAAAAAATTTTTTAGAATGAAGTGTTGGCATGTGCCCAGAGTTACTATCTGCCAGAATAAATGAATAACATTATCCAAATTCTGCCATTCTGCTGTATATATTTACACGGTAGCCTTGTGGCTCAGATTAGGCTAGGAGGCTTCTCGGATGGCCTCACTGAGTAGCACCTGACATCCATTTCTTTCCTTATCTTCTGTTCTCCCTTTTGGTCTCCTTTGTTTGTTTCTCTTTCCCTTTCTCTTCCTTTCCCCTCTTTCAGACTGCCCTTCTTTCGACTTGCCAATCGTCATCATCACAGACCAGGTCCCTGGAACTTGAAGCTAAAAGAGGTGGCTGGTTGCTAACACCTGTCTCCCTGCTAAATGAATAAATAGGCTCTTTTGTGCAGAGGATGTTAAAAAAAAAAAAAAGCTGATTAGTGCAATACTGGCTTAAAGGGCCTATTAATGATACAGCATATGTAAATCACAGGGTGATTTAAATCCATTTTAGAGATTAGTTTCATATACTATGTATTTTTTATATTGAATTATGATATCAGTTGAATTTTTACATCTAAACTATGAATCCATTTATTGCCTAAACAGACTAA